TCAATGAGTCAACTAGCCCCTTAATGACTTAGCCAACTAACCCCTGGAGTATTTACTACATTGAAGACTAATTTACAGCAACAATTGAAAAATTATTGCATACTGTATCAATGTATCACATTGAGAACACTTTGAACTACTTACCTGATTAAAATTATTTAAACAAATACCGTTAGATCTTAAAATTTAGCAACTTTTCTAAGGAAGACGAAATTTACTCACTGACTACAAACACAAAGAAGTTGCTGTGTTTTCTAACTTACCGACTCTACGATGCTATAGAGTTTTATACAGTTGGAAGCAGATGTCAGCATGACACAGTGCAATTTTAAAAGAATTCTGTTACGATGTTTTTTAATTATTGCCACCGAGTCAACTTACCCCTGTAGCCAACTAGCCCCGGTCTCCCCTATGGGTAGGACTTAATCTTTGGCTTTAATTTTTTCTTAATATATGTACATAGTATTCTTTGAATAACACGATACTCAAAAACATGTTTTAATTTCTCGTAGAGACATAAGGATTTTGCAGTTAAGCTCCGCCGCCTTCTTGATTCACGACGAATAAAAAAAATTATACAATTGAAATAGGGCGGGTGGGCGGGGCTACATATTTCCTTTTTTTGTTAATATGTGTAAAAAAAGGAAGAAAAAATTAATAAATACAGAAAGAAATAAAGAAAGAAAAAGAGAACGAAAGCTATGGAAAATTTTCAAGTTATATCAAGTAGGATGGAAGAGGAATTTTAATTGGTTTATATATTACTTGCTTGTAAAAATGGCACCACGCTTTTTTGAAAACACAGTATATCAATAAAATAAATTACGGCTTAGAAATTTCTTTGGATAATTTTTACGATTTTTTAATTTTCCGCTTCTCAGTTTTTCGATTTTTAAATTTTTCGATTTTTCAAAGAAACAATTTTTGACGTTGCTGAATTTTTAGTTTTTCAATTCCCCAATTTCTGGGTTAAAGGATTTTTTGATTTTTCCTATTCCTCGATTTCTCGACTTTTCAGTGTTTCGATTTTTTAGTTTTTCAATTCTTCAATTTGTCAGGTTTTAGATTTTTCGATTTTCCGAATTCGATTTCTTGATTTTTCAATTTTTCGAATTCTCAATTTTTTTTATGCTTCAGTTTTGGAATTTTTCCCTTCTTCAGTTTTTCTTCCATTTTTCGATTTTTTCATATTTCAGTTTTTACATTTTTTTGGTGTTCCTATTTCTCAATTTTTAAAATTTTAGATTTTCTGATTTCGCGATTTCTTGATTTTTGTATTTCTTTATTTTTCGAATTTTGAAATTTTCGATATTTGTCACTTTTTTTATGGTATCATTTTCTCGATCTTTCGATTTTTCGACTTGGGTTTTAGATTGTTTCTTTTTTAAAATGTTTGATTTTTCGATTTCTCGATTTATCGAGATTTCGATGTTACGATTTTTTGAATGTTCAATTTCTCGATTTTTCTATTTTGTCAATTTTCTGATTATTCGGTTATAGATTTTTTGTTTTTAAATTTTTCACTTTTCGATTTGTCCTTTTTCAGTTTTTCGAAATTTTTGATTTTTAATTTTTCAAATTTTTAAATTTTTGACTTTCCAGACTTACGATTTTTCCATTTTCCCACTCTTCAGTTTTTCGATTTTTAAATTTTTCGATTTTTCAATGTGACTATTTTTGCCGTTTTTGAACATTTGAATTTCTCTCTGTTTAGATTAATCGATTTTTTTATTTTTAACATTTCTCGATTTCTCGACTTTTCAATGTTTCGTTTTTTCAATTTTTTAACTCTTCAATTTTTCGATTTTTTTGTTTCTCAAATTTTAATCTTTAATTTTCAGATTTTTTTGTTTTCGTTTCTCTATTTACTACTTATCAATTTTTCGATATTTTAATTTTTCAATTTTTCGATTTTTCAATTTTTCGATTTCTCGAAATACCAAAATTTTAATGTCCGATTTCTTAATTTTTCAATTTTTCGATTTTTCAATGCATCAATTTTTGACGTTTCTAAATTGTCAGTTTTTGAATTCCTCAATTTCTCAACTAATTGATTTTTTATTTTTCCCATTTCTCGGTTTCTCGACTTTTCAATGTTTCGATTTTTAGTTTTGCAACTGTTCAGTTTTTCGATTAAAAAAAAAATCATTACAATTGAGATAGGGCGGGTGGGCGGAGCTTATATGTTGTCTTTTTTCTTAATATACCTAGTCGTCTTTTCAGAACAAGAAACTTAAAACATTCATACAACAAAGATAAAATTCTTGTAGACAAATATGGATCTTGCAATTAGGCCCCGCCCCTCGAACTGACAACGAATGAAAAATTCATTACAATTGAGAATTGAGATCGGGGCAGGTATGAGTGGGGCCTAATCTTTGGCTTTATTTTTTTCTTAATATACACAGTATTATTTGAATAACACGATACTCAAAAACATGTTTTAATTTCTCGTAGGATTTTGCAGTTAAGCTCCGCCTTCTTGGTTCACGACGAATAAAAAAAATCATCACAATTGAGACAGGGCGGGTGGGCGGGGCTACATTTGGCCTTTTTTTTCTTAATATGTGTAAACTTATTTCGACAACAAGAAAAAAGTAATTCTCCACTTTTTTCTACAACCCCTTTAAATACCACAAAAGTTGACCATCGAAGTTACTATCAACGGCAACTTCAACGGTTCTAGAAGAAATGACATTAATTTTCTTTTTTTAATACAAGAGGGTATAATTTTTCAATACATTAAATAGTGCCCTTTTTTGTCTTTTCAATGATATATCACATGAAACGATGTTGTTTACTTGAATGTTTTAAAACGTCCTTAAAATAAAAAAAAAAGAAATTTAAAACGATTAAAAATCAAAGTTCAAGCCAAAATAAAATGATACAAAAACAACTTTAAATTAAATATTCAAATTGACGACCTTATACTTTTAAACAACATTCTGCTGCATGAAGTAGACCCTGACTTGTTACTACTTGTAACAGTTCTGAGTTAATCCTGTCACATTCTACCCTAATTATTTGCTCAAGGTCTTCTCTTAGAGGTTTTTGATACACCCTAGCTTATAAATAACCCCACAAAAAAATCGAGAGGTGTTAGATCTGGAGATCTCACAGGCCACCGATTTGCTTCATTTTTGCCAATCCATCTACGAGGAAATGTATCATTCAAATAATCTGTTATTATTCGCGCGTTGTGTGGTGGTGCACCATCTTTCTAAAAATACATTCTTTCTCTCACGACGAATGGAACATCTTCTAGTAAGTACTAATAACACAGGAAGTTCGTTTACAATATTTTTAAAGCTTCTTGATGAATACTGTTATACCGAGTCAGATATAATTGAAAAGAGAAAAAATACTCTCTTTTATTGTACTACAAACTGTACTATTTTAGGTCTAGAAAAAAAGTTTGTGTCATTTCCGAGGAAACTGCAGCTAATTCGATGCCAATGGTCTACTCATTTAATAGATTGTATTACATATATTGAACATACAAATTTCAAATTTTGATGTTTTAAAATATAATTGAGATATTTGAGTGGAACGGGTACGCTGGGACACCCGGTATGTTTGATAATTAATAAATACGTATGTAATTGTGTCAAAGTGAAATTATTTCTCCAAGTATTTATTTATTTTAATGTGACTAACACCCAATACGACAATTTTTTATTGCCTGACAGTATCTGACAGTAACTAGCTAATAAACCTCTTATTCTTGACTTTTTTAAGAACTGAATTAAGATAGAAACAAGGTAAAGTGGTTTTGGAAGCCTTTTTGAATTCTTTACAACTTTCCCTTTTACAACTTTGCTAAAGGAAAAACTATTGCGTTTATTTAAATTTACTGCAAAAGTCTTGTCAGAGTTAATTAAAATTTACGTTATGTTGTTGACAAGGTTTAAGTGTCGGTTTTAAACGGCGTATAAGTAATTAAAAATTATAATCCGCCAGAGTGATAAATATGTACACTAACTGACAAACACCTGAAACAAGTTAATGTAAATTTAAATGCGTTTCTATTGACGTCATGGAAATAGATCGATTTTGCTAATAGTTTTCGTAATCTTTTTAACAAAGGTGAGGCTGTTTTATTAGACAATTTCTGTTTTTCTCTAATTTAAAACTCTAATGTCTCCCTGAAGTTTATTATTCTGCCCTTACTTTCAACGCTAAAGACTGCTATATTAAGGCGGAGTTTGGGTGGGTGGGCGGGGCATCTTTCTTCGTGTGAATAATCCAATTCGCAGTCAGTTTCACACAAACGAATCTATTCTGATTATTATTTATTTTGGCAGATGAAAATTTTATTCTTTTTTTTAGAGCTGTAGGATGATATACTAATATGTTTAGGTTGGTAGCAAGGAATAATTTTGATTTTTTTTTGTTATGAATTATTCTGATTCGTTTAACATACCTAGATTGATCCTTTCATATTAGATAAGGATTAATTTATTGTACTATTGTATCGTTATTGTTTCATGATTGGATTGTTTTGGAAATATTGCGTCCGAAATTATCATAATGAATTTCAGCTTTTTATGAATGAGCTCATTATAATGTGTAAAAAAAGACAAGTTTGAGGATTAACTTAATTTGAAATGGTGTCATTGTGTCCATTGACTTTAATTTTAATTTGTAATTATTTCATTGTTGATCTTGACAATTCCATGTGAATTTTCCAAATCAGGTACAAACAAGTTTCGCCGTCTACAAAACCCGATTCAATTTACACAAAATAATAAAAACACACATATTTCTGGTTACAATCTCGTGGGAGGCCCGACCAGACGTGTCCTCCACATATTTTTTCCACGCTCTAAATCCCACAAAACCGTTGTCACATTCTCATCATAACAAAATAAAATTCGCTTTGATAAAAATAAAGTCGACCTTTCAGCGCTGATGAAGCACTTTCTAATTGTTTATAGTTGATTAAACGCACAAACGCACTTTGAAAAACATGAATAATAACTTGGTAAAAATAATTTCAGACTTGTGCAATCCTCTGTTCGTCTTGGATGATTCAATGCCATAATTTTAGAAGAAGATGACTGTGAAAGCGACGAAATTTAAATCTAGTCTGGGTATCAACTATCCGAGTCTACGAGATGACCCTTTAAGGACAGGCCTGCGATGGCTGGCGGGGAAAAGGGCCGACGATGGGGCGGAAGGGCTGTGGAGGATTCACGATAAGTTGTACGAGCTGACTGACTTTATCGAGAGGCATCCTGGAGGACCGGAGTGGTTGGAACTGACCAAGGTACTTTAAAAAAATAACAATAGTAAAAAATAAAAATGACGCTATGTTTTAGGGCACTGATATTACAGAGGCCTTCGAAACACATCATTTAACGGTAGCTCCGGAAAATATGCTCAACAAATTTTATATCAGGGATGCTAAGAGTCCCCGGAATTCACCCTTCACGTTTAAAAATGATGGCTTCTACAGAAAGTTGAAAACTAATATTACCAAAAAATTGGCGGAGATTCCAAAAAGACCAGCAGATCGCTCTAAAACGATTGCCGATTTGTTGGTTGCTAGTTATATAGGTTTAGCACTTTTAGCTGTGATTTGGAAGAGTTTCACTTGTGGGATGCTGTCTGGGATTTTCTTGAGTCTAACGTGTATTGCAGCACATAATTTTTTCCACCAAAAAGATAATATTAGGATGTATTATTTCAATTTTACGTTAATGGATTATTCGTAAGTATACATACACATTTTCCTTAAATAATTAAATTTATTAAGTTCGGAACAAATATTTTACGGTACACTTTAGCTAAGGCAGGCGGTTTATTTTTTTAATAAGATTAATGTACCGTAGTTATAATTAAAAAAAATATAATAAATGTGAAAAATCATTCGCACTGATTAATGCTATAGGAATGTACCTAATGAAGCCTCTAAATGTGTAATTTCGTTCAAGGTTTTAGTGTTACACAACACTAAAACCTGTAGTATGTTGGAGCAATATTAGAAAAATACCTGCGTAACGAAGAAAATTAGACCACAAAACTTTTTAAATATCTTGAATTTAAACCTTTTCTGTATAGGTGTAATTTTACTTACATAGGAATATTCTAAAAAATCTAAAACTATTCCTGCAAATTTTGCACATTTTGGCAATTTTCCTCGTGACAAATGTATGATAAACATATTTTCGTAATAATTTGGCAAAAGATGTAATCGCTGGTTTAACTAAGCATAAATGATTCAAGTTTTAATGGTGCAAGATGATTTTCGAGCATGACTTTCCACAAGAATCGACAACAACATATTTAGGTTTTTGTATGTTTCAGAAATTTTCAAAAATGTCGCAATGTACCCAAAAATCTCTCATTCTGCTTGTTTTTTGAAGTGTTGCTGAAAAAATCAAATTTATTTTTACGTTAATAAATACAGAAAGAAAGAAAGAGAGAACGAAAGCTATGAAAAACCTTTATAAAAGTTTATATATTACTTGCTTATAAAAATGGCACTATATTTTTTTGAAAACACAGTATGTCAATGATATAAATCCACCAGTGAAGACGACGGAAATTTATTTGACAATTTTTACTTTCCGAGCGTCTGCCTATCCGTCTGTCTGTCTGTCTGCCGTCTCATCTGTCCGGATTTTTATTATATCTCAGAAAATACTGAACCGACTGTTGTCAAACTTTGTATGTAGGTATGTTAAGAATATCAGGTAGGTGGTAAAACGCTAATCAAAATTTGTCTCTTCATCTCCACCAACAAGAATGACGTACGTGTTGAGTTTTACCTTTACCAGATTTTGGGGAAAAAAATCTAAATCGCATAACAAAATTTTACAATTTAACTTTAAAATTGCCAAATCGAATACTTTGAAGTCTTACAAAGGTCTTAAAGTTATCGGAAATATGGTAAATCGTTAATTGAAATTTATCTGGTAATCTCCTACAGGCATTATCCAATATTTTTTTAGTCTTCAATTTTCGATTCTTCTAATTTTGGATTTCCTGATTTATTCATTCTTCGATTTATCAATTCCCGATGTTTTCAGTTTTTCGATTTTTTCATTTTTCCGCTTGTCAGTTTTTCGATTAAATCTTTCGATTGTTCAATGAAACAATTTTTGAAGCTTCTGAATTTTTACTTTTGCAATTTCTGAATTTCTGGATTAATAGATTTTTGATTTTTCCTATTCCTCGACTTCAGTATTTCGATTTTCTAATTTTTCAATTCTTCAATTTTCCAGGTTTTTGATTTTTCGAATTTTCGAATTCGAGATCTCGATTTTTCCATTTTTCGAATTCTCAATTTTTGATGCTTCAGTTTTGGAATTTTTCTATTTTTCCCTTCTTCAGTTTTTCTTCCATTTTTCGATTTTTTGACATTTCAGTTTTGGGTTTTTTCAGCTTTTCTATTTTCCAATTTTTACATTTTTTGGTGTTTCTATTTCTCTATTTCTCAATTTTTAAAGTTTTAGATTTTTTGATTTCTCGATTTCTTGATTTTTCTGTTTCTTAATTTTTCGAATTTTGAAATTTTCGATTTTTCAGTTTTTTGATGGTTCATTTTCTCGATCTTTCGATTTTTCGACTTGGGTTTTAGATTTCTTGGTTGTTCAATTTCACGATTTTTCTGTTTGTCAATTTTCTGACTTTTCGGTTATCGATTTTTTATTTTTTAATTTTTCGAATTTTTAAATTCTTCACTTTCCAGTCTCACGATTTTTCCACTTTCCCACTCTTCAGTTTTTCGATTTTTCAATGTGACAATTTTTGGCGTTTTTGAACATTTGAATTTCTCATTGTTTAGATTAACCGATTTTTTTATTTTTTCCATTTCTCGATATCTCGACTTTCCTATTTCGCTTTTTCAGTTTTTCAACTCTTGAATTTTTGGATTTTTAAGGTTTTTCGATTTTTTTGTTTCTCAAATTTTTTACTTTCAGATCTTTTTTTGTGTTTGTCTCTCTATTTCTCAATTTTTTGATATTTTAATTTTTCATTTTTGAAAATTTTGTATATTCCGATTTTTCAATTTTTTATTTTTTAATTTTTGTATTTTTTGATTTTTCGTTTTTTCAATTTTTCGATTTCTCGATATATCCAGATTTTAATGTCCGATTTTTTAATTTATCAATTTCTCGATTTTTCAATGCATCAATTTTTGACGTTTCTAAATTTTCAGTTTTTCAATTTCTCAACTAATTGATTTTTTATTTTTCCCATTTCTCGATTTCTCGACTTTTCAATGTTGTGATTTTTAGTTTTTCAATTGTTCAATTTTTCAATTTTTCGAATTTTTGATTTTTCGATATTTTAAATTTTCGATTTTTCTACTTTGATTGTGTGACTTCAATTTCTCAAATTTTCAATTTTTCGATGCTTCAGTTTTGGGATTTTTCTATTTTTCCTTTTTTCAATTGTTCTTCAATTTTGAGATTTTTCGGTATTTCAGTTTTGGGTTGTTTTCAATTTTTCGATTCTTCCACTTTAATTTTTAATTTTCAGATTTTTTTGTTTCTCTATTTCTCAGTTTTTCGATATTTTAATTTTTTGGTTTTTAAAATGCTTGAAGTTTCGATACCTCGAGTTCAATGTGATTTTGGCCTATTTCGATTTCTAAGTTTTTGCTTTTTCGATTTTTCAACGTTTTGATTTTTCGATTTTTCGTTTTTACGATTTTTCAGTTTTTCGAACTTACGATTATTTTGTTTTAATTTTTTTTAAATTAGATAATTTTTCAAGTGTTGGATTTCCTAATTTTTCAACATTTCAATTTTGGGAACTTCTCAATTTCTGGTTTTTTCAGTTTTTCGAAATTTTTGATTGTTCGATTTTTAATTTTTTTGATTTTTTAAGGTATCAACTTTTGACGCTTCTAAAATTTCAGTTTTTCAGTTTCTCAATTTCTCGATTCTTCGATTTTTCGGTTTTTCAATTGTTCGATTTTTCAGATTTTTGATTATTCGATATTTTCAATTTTCAATTTTTGGACTCCGATTTTCCGACATCGATTTCTAAATTTTCAATTTTTCGATTTCCTAGTTTTTCGATGCTTTAGTTTTTCTTTCATTTTTCCATTATTCAATTTTGCCTCCATTTTTCAATGTTTCAGTTTTGGGTAGTATTTCGGTTCTTCAATTTTTTAATATTTCGACTTTTGATATTTTTGTTTCTCAAATTTTAATTTTTCGATTGTTCAGTTTTTCGATTTTTTGATGTTTCTATATATTTTTTCCTTTCTCAATTTTTCGATGGATTTTGATTTTTCAATTTTTAAAATTTTAGTTTTTTGGATTTCTCGCTTTTTCGGTTTTTCATTTCTTCTTCGGTAAGTATTTCTATTTTTTTTATTTTTTGCATTTTTAAATTTTAGGTTTTTCAGTTTTTTGATGGTTCTTTTTCTGGATCATTCGCCATTTCGATTTTCAGGTTTTAGGTTTTTCGGTTTTTAAAATGTTTAATTTTTCGATTTCTCGATTCATCGACATTTCCGTGTTTCGATTTTTTGATTATTTAATTTCTGGATTTTTCAATTTGTTAGTTTTTTGATTTTTGGGTTATCGACTTTTTTTATTGTTAAATTTTTGAATTTTCGAATTTTTAACTTTTCGATTTTTCGATTTTGGCCTAGTTTGATTTCTCGATTTTTTGCTTTTCCGATTTTTCAGTTTTTTAATTCTTCAATTTTTCGTTTTTTTATTTTTTGGATTTTGCAGGTTTTTTATTTTTCAAATGTTTCGACTTCGATTTCTCTATTTTTCGATTTTCCAATGTTTCAGTTTTGGGATTTTTCCATTTTCCTTCTTCAATTTTTCTTAGAGGTTTTCGATTTTTCTATATTTTAGTTTTGGATTTTCTCAGTGTTACGATTCTTCCATTTTCCGGTTTTCGACTTTTCGATTTTTTCGTTTCTCAAATTTTAACTTTTAGATTTTTCAATTTTTAGATTTTTTCATGTACCTATCTATTTTTCTATTTTTCGATTTCTCGATTTCCCAATTTTTCTATTATTTTATTTTTAGAATTTTTAATTTTATATTTTTTAATTTTCTGATCTTTCGATTTTTCGGTTTTTAAAATGTTTGATTTTTCGAATTTTCAAATTTTTGGTTTCTCGATTTTTCGAGATTTCGATGTTTCGATTTTTTGATTGTTCAGTTTCTCGTTTTTTCGATTTGTATTTTTTTTAATTTTTCGATTATTGACAACTTTTTTTTAATTTTTAAATTTTTAATTTTCGATTTTTCAATTTTTTGCTTTTTCGACTTCTGGACTTTTTGATTTTTTTCAATTTCTCGATTTCTTATTCGATATTTTTTGTAAATTTTTAATTTTCAATTTTTCGAATTTTAAAATTTTTGTTTTTCAGTTTTTCGATTTTATGATTTTTTAGTTGCAAGTTCTTGACATCTCGTTTTTTCGGTTTTTAAAAATTTTCTACAATTTTTGGATTTTCAGATACCTGGAATTTTCAAACTTTCAATTTCCCAATTTTTCAGTATTTCAAGTTTGTAAACTTTTCAGTTTCTGGATTTATCAATTTTTCGATTTTTTGCTGTTTCGATGGCTCGATCTTTGGATTTTTTGCCTTTTCGATTTTTAAATATGTCGGTTTTTTGATATTTAAAATGTTTTCTTTTCTCAATTTCTCGATTTATCGATATTCCGATGTTTCAATTTTTTGATTTCTCGATTTTTCAGTTTTTCTATTTTTCAATTCTTCAAAATTTCTGTTTCTTGCAATTTTTCGAATTTTCAAATTTTCAATTTTTCAGTTTTTTGATGTTTTGATGTCTCGGTCTTTCGATTTTTCGGCGTTTCGGTTTTAGATTTTTCGATTTTTAAAATTTTTAATTTTTTGATTTATCAAAATTTCGATATTTCGATCGTTTTATTATTTAATTTCTAGGTTTTTCGATTTTTGATTGCTTGACTTCTCATTTTTTCGACTTTTCAATTTTTCAATTTATCGATTTATCGATTTTTTTAAGTTTTTAACTTTTCGATAGATCAAAATTATCTATTCCGAATTCTCAATTTTTCGATTTTTCGATTTCTCCATTTTTCAGATTTTTAGCTTTTCAGCTTTTTGATTTTTCAACTTTCCAGTTTTTTCGATGTTTCGATTTTTCAGTTCGTTGATATTTCTATTTTTCAATTTTCCGTATTTTTTAATTCTTGCTTTCGATTTTTTTTCATTTTAAATTATTAAAATGCATCTTTTACCTCAATGAATATTCCCAGGGCCACTTCTTTCCCCACATACGTAAACCGTTAATAGATAGTCAATGGCCTGGCTAGTAGGCAAACTGGTTTCCATATAGAGAGGTTTTCTTCAGATCTCCTTCTTTAATATAATTGTCAACAATTTTCTCCATGGTTTTTAAGAAAAAGGAGGTAAGACTAATAGGCGGTATGATTTAACCTCTTTGGGAGGTCTTCTTTTCATTTTAGGGATCAACGCCACTCTGACGTCCCTCTGATTCGATATAAAAAAAGAGTTTGAACTTTTGGGGATAATGTTTTAAACGCAAATTTGATCATTTTGGTGAAATATTTGTAACTAAACAATTTTATTGCCCGAAGAAACGATTGTTGAGTTAATCGTGCCAATGCTAATAAGCAGACTTTATTTAAAGTTAATTTTCACTTAAAAATGGGGAAAAGCTAAATATATCCCGCAAGTAAATTGAAAATTGCGTCAAAAACAGAGGAATAATGAATTTTGAGAACTACACTTACACTATTTTTTATTTCCAGAGCGTAGATTAAGGAAGTATTGTAAACAGGGTCCGTGGCCTGGACGTTTCATAACCCTTAGAGTACAGTTTGAGCAACTTTTTAGACTAAAATGTCACTATTAGAAATATTTTTGCCTATTGAACCATTTTTAACTTCAGAGTTCTGTGCAGGTCTCGTCTGACCCATAAACACAAGATAAATCGATTTCGTCGAAAAAATTGATCGAGATTAATCGAAACTTTTATTGAACAAAACATCTGTTCAACGGTTTCATAAATCACTTCCCTGACATTATTTATGAATTTGTTGACAATTATATTTGAAAATTTCTGTTTGAACGCTTTAAATTTTCAAGTGTTTAAAGTGCTTGTTTATGTACTTACTACTCTCAAAGATTCCGGTAGTCAAAATGAAATTTAAAGACGCTCAAATATACATTACCTGTATTTGTGAACGTTTACTTATGAGCAATCATGTCATAAAAAGTAATTGCAAAGCTCATATGCACATCGTAAAGCTATTTTATACGACTGCATCATTTTAACGGTGTTGTTCTTGGTAAAATCTCGAGTTGCACTATCAAACATTACTGACGTAAAAAGCACATGTGGCCGTCTACAGAAAAAGCTTCAGAAGATTGGGGTATTTCCGGACAGCACTCACTTCTATTTTCAGTTTTCATTTCCAACCATACTCCGAAAACTTGAATGAAACTTATCAAAAAACCGAACAACTTGAAATAAATCGCTTTGTGGAAAACCCGAATGTTTGTAAACATCGCTTTCATTCCCACATTATTGTGTTCCAACTGTCAAGAAAACAAATGGTCAATTTAGAGCCGCCAGACCTCACATCCAGCGCTAAACACATAATATGTTAACAAATTACTGCCATACAGTGCCAAAAATCGTTACACATCTTATTTAACACGTTTTCTCAAATTTACCTACTCTTATCTGTCATCACGAACGCAATTTCCGCGGCCAAAAGCAAGTTCACGGTCAAGCTTTTGATAAATTTTAAATTTGCGTTTCGTGGAAACATTAACGCCTGTGTGCAGTGCAGAGGCACTAAATCACGCCGAGTACAAAGGTAAATCCTGGAATCTCCAACTGGAATAGCAAACACGCCGAAAATATCTCCGCGAAAGCGAAATTAGTTCATGTTTAAAATTATCTGAGCCGACACACCTGTTTTCGCTTACAGAGAGTGGAGGATCAGTCACGCACTCAGTCATCATTTGCATACCAATACCATAAACGATCTGGAAATTTCTGCGCTGGAGCCGTTCCTGCAATACTTACCGGGGAACAAGCACGGACTTCTGCGGTTCCTCCACATCGTCATTTCGCCGGGGGTCTATCTGTTTCTCTTCTTAGGTTCCTTCATCAGGAGGTAATTTGCCATAAAAGTCGTCGAAAATTGTTTAAAATTCGATCCCGCAGCATCATCTCGCTGTTTCTGAAAGAAAAGAAGTACTCCCCCGTCATTTTTCTAGCGTTCTCGGTTTTGGGACTTATGGTGGTGGTTTCTGGCGAGGTGATCTTCCCTTTGACGATGTTCGGGTTCATACAGTTTACCGGGAGCTTGCACTTTGGGGCTGTGGGATTGAACGCAGCCCATCACCATCCGGACATATTTCATGATGGGGACACTCCAAGGTAGGGATTTAAAAGGAAATGGGATCTGTGACTATTTCAAAATTTCTAGGCCGAAACACGAAATGGACTGGGGAATACATCAGCTGGACGCTGTGATGGACCGTAAAGACATAACAGGATCCCATTTTTTGGTCTTGACTAATTTTGGGGACCATGCTCTTCATCACCTCTTTCCGACCATCGATCACGGACTCTTGGAATACTTATATCCAACTTTTTTGAAGACTTGTGCCGATTTTGGGATCGAGTGGAAACTGAGTTCCCAGATTGAGTTAGTGAAAGGGCAATTTAGGCAGCTCATCAAGACTGATCCCAATGCGGAACCACCGAGACCTCTTAAGCCTTTCAAATCTTTGTGATTCTTTTTATTGTAGACTTTTTATATGTTGTAAAAAAGGGGAGAGAATAAAACTAGATATTCAATAGAATCTGTTTATATTACAATAAATAATAATTAACAATGACATCGAAATAAATACAGAAGTTGTAAACGGATATGTATGGAAGGAGAACGCAAAAGAACAATCGTAAACAAATACATAACGATATAACTTGTTTATTGGTGCCTTAAGCCATACATGTCACACATACAATACATTTTTGAGAACCTAATATAAAATTAAAGATGGCACTGAGAACTCGGAGACTGTAAGGGCTGTTGATGGAAGTACGTGTCTCTGTGTCCCTTAGAATTCCCCTATCTCGTATGCATAATGAACAACGGAATCATTCAAAATACAATCCTAAATTGTGAAAACAAAAAATAAAAAATAAAAGAAAAATGAATGTTGTAATAAATTAAAAAGCGGATTCGATCTTGTTCCGCGTAAAGTTCGTAAAATTTAACACAGCGCTTAAAAAATAAAATTTAGAAGTCGTTTTCAGGAGCCAGGTCGAATCGTGGTGGGAAGGTAAGTCCGTCAGCTAACTGGGGGCGCCGTGTCGGGGGCTGAAAGCAAAAACACCATCACCACCAATGCTTCCAAATCGCCAAAAACAAAAAATCAAAACGGGACAAGACATGACAATTATTAGGTGGACAAATACGCGTTTACAAATTAGATTTTTGGGGGAAATAAACACTTTAAAAAGTGCGTTGCTAAACACGAGGAGTTCTAATGCGGGGAACCCTCACTTACAAGAGTCGAGTTACTCCAACGCAATAGGCAAACGAGGTTTGTTTGCTCCCGGCTATAAGAGATATTCAGCATGAGAGAAATGATTCAACGGTCCCGGAATTGCGACGCGAGTCGCACTTTCGAGACGGAACTTTGACGATAATGAGTCGAACTTACCGCTGGGCTGCCTCCCCTGGCTGCGGATCCCCCACGTCCCTTCGCGCGGAATTTGGCAATAGCCTGCTCGGCGAGGTCGGCGCGTTCTTCGGCTTCCTCCAGCTCCTGCTGTGCCTTGCGGAATTTGGCCAAGTTCAATGCGGCGATCTCTTCAGCCTCTTCGATCTGCCTCTTGTAGGTCTTGATCTTCTGCTGCAACTTGTCGACGAGATCCTGCATGCGCTCGTGGTTCTTGCGGTCCTCCTCGGCCTGGAAGCTCAGTTCCTTGATGCGGCGCTCGGATTTCCTCAAGTTCTTCTGGGCGTCGGCGTGTCTCCTCTGTTCGCCGTCCAACTCGTTCTCCAACTCCCTCACGCGCTGTTCGAGTTTCTGGATGAGTTTCTTGCCTCCTTTGAGGGCGTTAGCCTCGGCTTCGTCGAGACGGACTTGCAAGTCCTTGATCTGGGTCTCGAGGGCTTTGCGGAGCTTCTCCTGGGTCTGGGCGTGGTCTTGCTCGGCGCGGAGCTCGTCGGCGAGGCGAGCGGCATCGACCATGGCCTTCTTGGCCTTCTCCTCGGAGTTCTTGGCCTCGTTGAGGAGCTCGTCGAGGTCGGAGTGGAGGGTCTGGAGTTCGGTCTCGAGTTTCCTCTTGGCGGCGGAGAGCGAAGAGTTCTGGGCTCCCAAGTCGTTGAGCTGTTCGTGAGCATCGCCGAGTTCCTGTTCGGCCTGGCGGCGGGCGCGGTCGGCTTGTTCGAGAAGAGTGCGGCTCTCTTCGAGCTCGTTCTGGAGGGCGTTGGCGCGACGTTCGGAGATGCCGAGCTGTTCGCGGGCTTCGTCACGGGCGCGCTGTTCCTCCTCGAGGGCGGTCTGGGTGTCCTTGAGCTGTTGCTGGTAGCGTTTGATGGTCTTCTGGGCCTCAGCGTTAGCCTAAACAAAAACCATGACCACTAGTTCCTAATCACCGAACGAAACACTCACCTTGTTGGCGTGGTCCAAAGCGATTTCGAGCTCGTTGATGTCGGCTTCCAACTTCTTCTTCATGCGGAGGGCCTCAGCCTTACCCTTGGCTTCGGCTTCCAGGGAAGCTTGCATGGAGTCGAGGGCGCGTTGGTGGTTCTTGCGGGTGTTTTCGAATTCCTCTTCCTTCTCTTGGATGCGGCGGTCGATTTCTTGGCGTACTTGAGACAGCTCGAGCTGGCTGCGCAAAACTTTGTTCTCTTCTTGTTCCAGAGCGGCTTCGGCTTCTTCCAGAGCGGCTTGGAGTTCGTCCTTTTCGGCTTCCAAGCGTTTCCTGGCCTTCTCGATTTCGTGGATGTTGCGGCCACCCTCACCGATTTGGTCGAGGAGATCCTTGACTTCATCGGCCAAGTTCTTGTTCTCGCGGCGGACGGCTTCGAGTTGCTCTTGTCCCTCTTCGTAGGCACCCTTGAGCCTGAACAATTCGGTGGAGTAGTTGCGGCATTCCTTCTGGCTGGCGTCGAGTTCGGCGGCCAAATCATCAACCTTGAGTTTCCATTCTCCAATGATCTTGTCGAATGCCTTCTGTTTCTTCTCGGCGGCGCTGGCGATGGCGTTAGCCCTGTCGACTTCGATTTGCAAATCTTCGACTTCGGTGGTCAACCTCTGTTTGGTCTTCTCCAGAGCTACAACCTTCTGGTTGAGGGACTCGATAGTCTCCTCGGCTTCGGCGAGACGGGCCTGGAGTTTCCTCTTGGCTTCCTCGAGTTCCTCGGAGCGGGCGATACCCTCGGATTCGTATTTCTGGCGCCAGAGTTGGGATTCGGCGTTGGCTTTGCTGAGTTGGCGCTGGATGTCGGCTTTAGCTTCGGCTTCTTCTTCAACTTGTTCACGGATGTTGTCCAAATCGTGCTCCAAGTTGCGGAATTTGCCGAGGAGGGTGGCGCGTTCGCGACCTTCTTCGTCGGCGAGCCTCTTGGTGTCTTCCAGTTGGGTGGTGAGGGAGACCTTGATCTTGCTGAGTTGAGAAACTTGAGATTCGGCTTCTTCGAGTTGGCGGAGGAGGTCAGAGTTTTCGATGGAGAGCTTCTTCTTGGCGGCATCGAAGTCGTTGAGGGTGCGGTTGGTTTCGTCGAGTTTGCCCTGGACGTCGTTGAGTTGCTGTTGCAACTGCTTGGACACTTTTTCGACGGCAGCCTAAAACAAGTGCTCGTAAAGCTCCACTCGAGATTAATAGAAACCACAAAAACGACACAGTACAGCTATACACATTTTTTTGTTACAGGGCGGAAGATTATGGTCACACTGAAAGAAGCTGCTGCATAGTTTAACGATTAGCTGAAATAAAGCGAATGCGCTTGTTCAACCCAGCAAAGTACCTTTTCGTTAGCCAAATGATCGACGGAGGCGCGGAGGTCGTTAAGTTCACCGAAGTATGCAGCCTTTTCTTTTTCAGCCCTAGGGGACGAAACAAAACGTGTAAAGTGACAAAACGAAACAAACAAAAAAGGTGTAGTGCAGGTGGGGGTCAAAAACTACAAAAGGTTCTCAGAACCCTTGTACCTTTTCGCGACCGATCACTTCCACCGCACTGCGAGTTTGCTGAAGCTCGGTAAAAATACTAGCTCGATCTCTTTCAGCCCTATAGTGACGAATTAATTTCTCTGCTCTTGCTGAAGCGAAAGCGGTACTTACTTGGCCTTAAGTTTGTTGAGTTGGTCGATCTGTTCACCCATTTCGGAGACGGCATCGTTGTGCTTCTTCCTGAGGTTGGCGAGAGTGCTTTCGTGTTGGATGTTCGATTCTTCCAAGTCCCTTCTTAGTTTGGCGAGTTCGGCTTCACGTTTCTTGTTGAGTTCGATCTGGGCAGAGGTAGCACCACCGGCTTCCTCCAAACGTTCGCCCAATTCTTCGAGTTCCCTGGCCAAATCGGCACGTTGTTTCTCGGCCTTGGCGCGGGCTTGACGTTCGGCTTCGACTTCCTCTTCGAGTTCCTCGATCCTGGCCTGGAGTTCCTTGATCTGTTTCTGGAGCTTACCGACAACGGATTGTTCGTCTTCGAGTTTGGCAGTGAGAGATGAGATTTCCTTGTCTTTGCGTTGGATGGTCTGTTCGAGTTCCTTCTTGTTGCGTTCGAGATCGGCTACGGCTTCCTGGGTGAGCTTGAGGTCGCCCTCAACCTTGCGTTTGGACTTCTCAACGTCACCGCGAAGTTTCTTCTCGCGTTCGAGAGAGTCCTCGAGTTCGTCGAGGGTCTGTTCGAGTTTCGCCTTGACTTTGTTCAAGTGGTTGACTTTGTCTTCGGCGGCTTGGAGTTCCTCGGCGACCTTTTGGTTGCTTTCTCCGGAGAGTTTCTTCTCCTTGTTGAGCTTGTTGATGAGTTCGTCCTGGTGGGCGATTTCATCGTTCAAGTTTCTGATCTGGTGGTCCTTGGTAGCCTTGTCTTGTTCGGCCTTCTGTACGTTGAGTTCGAGGTCTTCGATGTCTTTCTTGTATCCGGAGATTTCTTGTTCGAGTTTCTTCTTCTGTTGCATGAGTTGGTTGCGAGCATCCTCCTCTTGGCTGAGGCGGTCTTGGGTTTCCTAAATTAATTGGAGTATTTAATAACGGGTGGATAAACATCATTAGAGCCTGGCTCTAATCCAATAAAATGTTGTTCGCACTTTTTTCTTATTAAGAAATTTTGATAAATTGCTTCACCTACATGAGAAGTTGAACGTAAGCCAAAGAGTGCGAAAGCGAAGAAAGTAAACGGTTGCACGTCTATAGATAGGTATGAAAAGATTCTTTCATTTAAAGAATTTAATAAACTGGCAGATGTACAAAGATAAACTATTGATATCTAATAATAATTTGGTCGTAAAATAAACCTTTGCGAGGTATCCAAACAATTTACACCATCAAATGGAAGAACTATTTATATCGAAGTGGTCTTTTCTCACCAATTCCATAAACAAATAGACTCATATTTTCATATTTGAGAAAATAATCAAGTCCAGGAATAAATTCCAGACGGCATTACTTACGGATAATTGTGATTCTAGATCGCTCTTCTGGGCCGAAAGTTTGTTGGCTTTCTCTTGGATTTCGGAGAGGGATCCCTTTTCTCCCTCAAGACTGGAGAGAAGGTCAGTCTTTTCTGCCAAGAGTTTGGAGTAGAGTCCTTCCAATTCTTTCTTGGCTTTGGCTTCGCGTTCGTAGGCTTCTTGTGCCTTGGCAGCTTTTTCTTCCAGTTTCTGTAAAATCTCTTGCTTAGAAGGGCACGTATGGTCGATATCAACCATTGTTAAAATTCGTTAACTTCGTTCGATTCGCTCGGTCAAATGAAAATAACCAGAAGACACCCGCCCAGTTCAGGGTCTGCACCGCGCTGCGTCTCGACTAAGACTGGTGCAGTCAGTACAACTTTCATGTTTGTGGAAAAATAGAATGCGTAGGCACGAGATGATTCGATGAAAGATTAAAAAAAAGTACGCGATGTTTCATACGTTGACAGATTGAGGAGGGATAAATTCGTATAAATAGATCGTGAAATTTAGGACATCAGGTAAGTAGTCGTAAAATCCGATATTTATGATATGCGTAATATAAACACGGCTTAAATATGGCGAAACTTACCGCAATCTCATCCTCGATGCGGGTGACGTTGAGGAGAGGCTTGACTTTCTGCCACAACTTGTACCAGGGCCAGGTGCGGAGCTTGAGGTATTTGCGCAAGTTTCTCTGGCACACTTGGAGGGCCAAGCGTTGCTCCTGCAACTTCTTGAATTCCTTTCTGGACAAGTAACCACGGATCCAAGATTGCATCCAGGTGACGATCTTGCCAAGACGTTCGTCACGAAGTTCCTCCATCTGACCCAAGACACCGGCGCGGAAGAAGACCTATATACAACGCGACCATATTAGACGGGGCATGGACGCTCTGGAAGCGAAGCGTTTTCCCTTAACGGGCGTTTAGTGCGGAGCCGAAGCGCAACCAAGCAAATTACATGACGCCACGTCATCACGCGTCATTATTCCAAAAGCGAATTTATAACTTCAGTGTTAAAGCCACGAAAATATGCAAGTCTTGGAGGTTTGCGGTAAATCAAGCCAGCATTAGATGACAGAGAGTTATCTACTTCTACAATTTTGGCAGTGATACTTTTTTGAGCATAATTTACAAACAGCTGAAGCTTTTTTTTTTCTAGAAACGAACGTCCGATTTAAACTTTCGATCAAAGTTGCCAAGAAAACTTGAGTTTTCCGGATTACAAGTCAAGCTAAAGCGTCGATGATGGACAACGGAGGGTGTCCCAACATCTTACGAGTTTGATCTTTTGTCCGGAGCGATGCTGCAAATTATCGATTAGCAAATCTACGTTGAACTACTGTGTTATCGACTTTTTTACACGGCTGCCAGTATCTACTAGAAGCGTCCATATTTGTACATGTACGTATCGAACAAGTACCTTGGTTTTACCGAGACGGAACTGTTCAGCATCGAGGTTCACAGTCTCCAAAACAATTTGGCTGGCTTTCTCAGGGGTCATGTCATCTTTAATAGAACTTGCGGCCAGAATTTTGTATCTGTTTGATCGCAAGAACTATTAGTAGTGAACAAAACAAGTGCACAGTGGAGTTAGTGGGGTGTCTGTTGGTCCCAGTTTAGGGACACCCAGCTGAAAACCGGACGTCGGTCACTTTTTGACGCCGGACTAGGGAAAAAATACAAGACATAATAACAAAGGAAAACATGCCTTGGTGTGACCTAAACGGTAAAGGTCAGGGTCAAGACCGGTGGATTCAAGAACCAAACCGGCGGACTTCTTTGGATCAGACTCCTTATCGACGGCAGACGGGTTCAAGATTTTGTAACTAAAGAGTAAAGGGGTATTATTAAACAAGTAACAACGGGCGACGTGCATTTGTGACGTGACAGGGGTTAACATTTAACCCTTGCCTTGGTGTGTCCTATGCGGTAAGATTCTGGGTCTAGGCCGATCTCTTCGAGACATTTCGAGGCTGCGTTCTTGGGTTCACTTTCTGCTGCCATAGTGGCAGGTGCTAAGATCATGTAGCTACACCATAATACGAACATATTTAAATCTTTTTAGAGCACTAGAGGAATCTAACTTAAGCCACTTTGATGTTCGCTTTATTACTTACACAGCACCAAAGTGGTTTATTTGTACGAGTATTTTTAACTTAAAATCAAATAAACTCTTACCGAAGTTTGAAGTCGGGGTAAACCATCCTGTTGGGGAAACCTTTTCTGCAAATACGGATACCTTCAAGTACACCGTTGCAAGTCAGCTGGTGCATTACTAGATGGGAGTCAATGAGACCGGGTTGTTTCAACTCGTTGGGGATGATGCAACGGACGAAGTGAGGTTGGGTGGAACGCAGGGTGGTCATCAGGTTGTTCAATTGTTCCTAAAGAACCCCACAAGTCAGCAAAAATTCTTTAGCTGGCAGTTCATGTTAGTATTGTTACGTTAAGCTTTGGCGCAGTGCTTTATAATAATTAGCTTCTACTTGTAAATGTTATAAACGTCAATGTATCTCGTCACCATAACCAGGTTTGAGTGGAGGTGATTTAGTTTGACAAACGTGTTCGAGTAAAAGTCACCATTACGTATTCAATGGTTCGGATGAGATGTGGTTGTTCCTACGAAGACTTTTCGTGGATACAACAGTGATAGTCATGGGTGCAGGTAATGGGTCATACGGTGAATTAATCCAAATTTACTAACTAACAAAGTGATCTTGGTGGTGGTGAATCTAAAAACATTTACTCCGTCGTCGGAAAATGTCTTTTGTTTAAGTGACTAGAAATTTCATGGAGGTGCTGTTCAATTAAACGTACCTTGTAGGCTGAGGATACAGTAGCAAAACCACCTCCCTTCTTACCACGACCTATACAACAAAAAGACAAATAGCAACATCAAGCAAGAGCAACAACAATTAGCAACGGTTTTTTTTGTGTGTAAATGTTATCAGCTTCACAGTGACGACAATTACCCTGTATAAACTTGATACAGTCTGGAAGCCTGAACCTTTAGTTCTCTTGGCACCTAAATCAGATTGCAAAAGATTTAATTCAAGAGTATTTCGCTATTCTTTAAGAACGACGAAACATAAATGTGTTTACTGTGTATATGATACTATTGAAAGAGTGACTTTACCCTTGCCGCCACCAGCATCAGGACCGCCAGACTGTCCAGGATGGTCAGCGAAGATCTCGACGATGAGTGCGTTGGAGCCCTTCTTGTACAAATCGACGACGGTGTCGTTCAAGGGATCCTTATTCTTCTCAAGCCAGCCAGTGATGTTGTAGCCGACCTAAACTCCGCAATTAGATAAAAGCGAAATTCCCAGCGATCTACTCCTTACGTTGCCGGCATAATGGCCGATGGCGAAGTGAGCAGCCACTTGACCGGGCTTTGGTGGTTTGGGCTTCTGGTAGTTGGGAGATTTGCCCAAGTGGTTGGTGTTCAACTTGTCCTCAAAGGTCTTATCGGTGGCCTTGGGGAACATAGACTCTTCTTCAAGGATGGACAAGATACCCATAGGCTGTATATCGAATAATCTGTGTTAGCATTTCGTCGTGGAGACGTCGGAATAGGTATTTTATTTTACTTTACCTGGGAGTGCCGGTGCGAAATAAGCTACGCTAAGAACTGTGCATAGACTATTGTGTTTTTAGGAAAGGTTTTTTTGAGGGAAGAGGATACCTTTTCGATTAGGTCAATGCACGGTTGCAAATCCAGACCGAAGTCGATAAAGGTCCACGCTATCCCTTCCCTTTCGTACTCTTCTTGTTCTAATATGAACATATGATGATTGTAGAATTGTTGAAGTTTTTCGTTCGAGTAGTTTATGCACAGTTGATTGAAGCCATTATACTGCAAGTTAGTATAATAAAGAGAGCTACAACTACAGCACCTCGTCTTTAAAGGTTTTAAGATTAGAAGCTCTATTCGGACACCTACATGAAGCAGACGCGGACGATTTTAAGCTGTTCTAATAGATATATTTTTTGAGGGGATGCTGTTTTCATCGCCTCAGCAGTTCCTTTTACCTTTTCAATCAGTTCAATACAGGCTAACAAGTCCATGCCGAAATCAATGAAGGACCACTCAATACCTTCTCTTTGGTATTCTTCTTGTTCTAGTACGAACATGTGGTGGTTAAAGAATTGTTGCAACTTTTCATTAGTGAAGTTGATACAGAGCTGTTCGAAGCCGTTGAACTACACAAGTGTAACAAAACGAGACAAATCATTAGCCACACAACGTACTACACAGCAATTCACCAGTTATGTGGGTGGAATCGCAACAACACAACTACATAATACACATACATAAATAATCGACAAATACCGCTACATGTGGAACAATACTACACAAGAAGCAGACAATTCCGCTGCTGCTGATGCTGCTGCAGAGTGCTCGAACAACAGTGATCAAAGTACAACAAAACCCTACGATAATCCAAACCTCATTTGGTCGAACCGTCGCCTGAAATTACCTTTTCAATCAACTCAATACAGGCTAACAAATCCATGCCAAAATCAATAAAGGTCCATTGGATACCCTCAATTTTGTACTCTTCTTGCTCGAGTACGAACATGTGATGGTTAAAGAATTGTTGCAGTTTCTCATTGGTAAAGTTAATACACAGCTGTTCAAAACCGTTGTACTAGATGGAGGGAAAAAGGTACATTAACATAGTGGAACGACATTTCCGGGAACCCTCAAACCTACCACACCAAACGCAAAACTAAGCTTACCCTGCATGCAGACGTTAGGCTAAAGCTAGAGCTAAGCGAGTTAAGCTAACCTTTTCGATAAGTTCAATGCAAGCAAGCAAATCCATCCCGAAATCGATAAACGCCCAAGTGATTCCCTCACGGGTGTACTCCTCTTGTTCCAAAACGAACATGTGATGGTTAAAGAATTGCTGCAGCTTCTCGTTAGTAAAGTTAATGCAAAGCTGCTCAAAGCCGTTAAACTAGAATAAAAGTGAAAACAGAACTCGTCATCCAGTCCTGAAAGTGCTAGAGTGCTATAAAATATAAAGTGTGTGTTGTGATTCACCCTTCATCAAAATATGAGGTGTAATATCAGTGCTTTTTAACCAAGTTTTCTTTAAAACTTACGTCGAAGATTTCGAAACCGGCGATATCCAGTACACCAATGAAGTGCTGCCTCTTCTGTTTGGTATCCAGAGTTTCGTTACATTTCTTGACAAGGAACTTGAACAACCTGTCAAACATGGCCTTTGACATGGCACCAACGGAGTAGTTGACCTGGTTGACATTACGGCCCTGGGTGACGAACTCGGCACCGACCTTGATCCTGGGCTTGCACAAGGCGTTGTACAAAGCGGGAGCTTCAACACCCAACAATGTAGCGACGCGCTCACCTTCCTGCAACCTTCATTTTTGCAACGTTTCTTTCGCAAGAAAAACGAAGACTAACCGTAGTACCGTCGGGCTCGGCCTGCTCCTCACGACCCCTCTGTTTGAACTTCATGCAACCCATGTGCATTACGGCGGCTGTGATCTTGTAGATGTTATCCTTCTCTTCTTGGGTGAAACCCAAGACGTCGAAGGCTTGCTGTTTACATAAAAACACGTTAATTTTTAACGGTAGCGACGGTTTTGCGAAACGAATACTTTAACGTCACGTGCAGAGGGTTTTTCTTTGCGTTACTTACATCAGTCAGTTCTGATTCCTCTGCATCGTCGACGTTAGGAATCGTAACTTTACCCTGGGATACGTTGTTGTAGTCGTAAATGTTGTCGCTAAGCAAGCAGTTTTCTGTGGAACAAGCGAGGAGGTTAGCGGAAAGAAAATATTAGCTGCGCTTCAAGTTTAGGAGTTGCTGTGATTCGCCAGAAACGATAAATTTGCAGGTGCACGAAGCTTTTCCCAGAGTAATACAAGTTCGGTGAGCGGTTAACAAAGAGTCAATAAGAAAAATACACCTGTATGGGAACGAAACGTGTTTTTTACTACAAATTCCTTAGTTCCCACTACAGGTGTTTTTTCGTTCACACACAAGTCACACGACGAGGGTTGGCTTTAAGGTTAGGGACTTACGTCGGTGATTTGAAGTTCTTCAGCATCATCGACATTGGGAATAGTAGTTTTGCCTTGAGCGACGAAATAGTATTCGCTGATGTTGTTAGAAAGTAAACATTGTTCTGGGGGTTAAAGGATAAAAGTCAAAACAATACAAACATAGATGTGGTCGGACAAATTTGTCTCTATGTATTTGTCCGACCTCCTTGGGGTCTCTTAACCTTAGGGAACAAAGGAGCAAACTACGTCTCAACGAATTTGTCGCTCTTTTACTGGAGGTTTAAATACTACTACACATGCGGACAAAGTTTGTCTCAAATGAAACTTGTCCGATACAATCGGTGTCTCTAAAACCGACTTGTGAGTACGAAGAAAAACTGAAAAAGAGAAAAGCTCGTGGGGGCTTAAGAGCCTTCACCCACTTACATCTGTCAACGTCAATTCTTCAGCATCATCGACATTTGGAATAGTAATTTTGCCTTGAGACACGTAGTGATACTCGTAGATGTCGTTTGAAAGCAAGCAATTTTCTAAATTGGAGAATAAATTAGAACCACGAAGAGAACGTTTAAGAGATTTTGATATTTGAAATGATTAATTAATATCGCAAGTGGCTTTAAAATTTACCCTTAAGTCCTTTAACGGCACCAGACATGACTTGGTAGAAGATGTGGTAGGATCTTTCAAGAGGCTGTTGAGAGATGACACGGGCCTTCTCGAGCAGATCTGTAAACATGCAAACCATTTAGAACAACTTCAAAGTGTCAACGGCAAAACTTACAAGTTTCAATATCGGCACCGGCCAGTTTACCAGTGGGACCGAAGTGGATACGGATGAATTTACCCTAAACAATCCCATTTAGTTGTTAATTCTTTTCCTGTGCGACCGAACTTACGAAACGTGAAGAGTTGTCATTACGCACGGTCTTGGCGTTACCGAAGGCTTCAAGTACAGGGTTAGTTTGGACGACTTGATCCTCCAAGTTACCCTTCTTGGTCTGCTCTTCAGTTTTCTTTGTTGAGGCGCCGACAGTGGCGAAGTAGGCAATTACTTTCTTCGTGTTTTCTGTTTTTCCGGCACCAGACTCACCACTGGGGGTTGATTGAGGAATTAGTAACGAATAAAGGTAACTTTAGCGATAGTACTTACGTAATCAACATAGATTGATTCTCATGGTCTGGAAAAGAAAACGAGGCGTTAGTTGTGTCGTGGCAAGTCGTTTTTTATAACTTACTAGTCAACATGTTAACGTAGGCACCGTCAGAAATGGCGAAGATGTGGGGTGGCACTTCATTACGCCTCTTGCCACGGTACAACTTGGCACAACGGTTCGTGTAGACGGGGAAGCGCTTGTAGGGGTTGATAGCGACGCAGAAAAGACCAGAGTAAGTCTATAAAAACAACACGAACAATGAGATTTGTGAGGGACGCGCTCCGGGTTTTTAAACTTTCAGTTTTCAGAATGTCCTGGTACTGATACTGAGGAGGATTACACACGATACACTGAGATAGGTAGAAAATTAGCACTCCTGGTGCTAATCTACAGAGGGTTACACACAAAACTAGTTGGAGATAGTAAAAGGGGTATGAAAAATGGGGCTTAATTACAATAGATAGACCAAGCACGTTGTTGGTGCCGGTTGGTTGAGTCGGGTACGACTCCTGGGTGGGTACATAAGGGAGTTTAGACACATTGATAAGAGACCAAGCACGTTGTCGGTGCCGGTTGTTGTACAGAGGATCAAGATCTAATCTAAAAACCAAGTACGTAAGGTACTGGTTTGTGAAAACGATGGTCCAACGGTCCTGGGACGGTGTGTGCCGTGTTCCCCAGAGATGAAGGTTAGCACAAGACCTCGAAGGCCTCGACTTACATAAATAAGTTGGTTATAATATCTTTGCTTGAGATTATGCAATACGGAAGCGTCGTTGAGGTATGTCAAGTTGGACATATCCTCGCATTTTTCGTACTTGGGGGGGTTCACCTGAGTTACTTGTTCCTTCTTGAAATTCTTCTCCTGTACGCAAAGAAAAGAGCATTAAAACCGTCTCTCGACACTTACGTAAATAAGTTTCATGTAGTATCTCTGCCTCAAGTTGTGCAAGACGGCAGCTTCGTTCAGATAGGTCAAATCGGCCATATCTTCGACTTTTTCGTATTTCGGAGGGTTCACTTGGTGAACTTGATCCTTTTTGAATTGTTTCTCCTGTTCTCACAAAATAGTTTAATGTGTGATCGGTTTAGGGGAGTGTGAGTGTAGGGGGTGTGTGCAATAAGGGGACAAATTGTGCGTGAATTAATTTACCTCTCCACCGCCGACCGCAACGGTGACGAGATCACCTTTCGTTCCTCGGATTTCACCAAGTAAGAAACCCTCCTTGTCGTCCGGGACCCAGCAAGATTTTTTGGCATCATAGGGCTTAGTTTGGTCAATACGCTTCTGCTCAAGAGAAACGAACAAGTATGGGGTAGGATCGGGATCCTCCTTATCGGCTGCTGGCGGTTTAGGCATTGTTAATGGACGTTCCTGGGGCTATCGAGACACGTAATACAGCCCTAGAGCCTTCCTGTAACAAAAACGGAGTGAGAAGCGTTGCAAAGGGACAGAGGTCTGTGCGAAGTGGAACTCATTCACACCGAGGTAAAGGAAACACGTGTGCATTTTTACCGGACAGACTTCAACAAAGTTTTTTCTAAAACCACGCAAAATGTAAAATGGTAAATCGTTTGTTTCTAATTTCTAATTTTATGCAAAATGACTTTGAGGTCTGTCGGATGATAGTACGGAAAACGATTTTTATGGCATCGTTATTCAGACAATATAGTTTTAGAGGTGTAAGTAGTCTGCATTTGCGTCATTTTTGTCTCAACATTAACCCAACCTAACCCAAACTGGGTCCATATAGTATACTATAATTGTGTATTCACTGTTACAAGTTAACGTAACGCTAAAATAAAAATACTTGGCACAGATTTTTTTTTTGAAAACTTTCTGACAATTAATTTTATTTTAGAAAATAAAAAACGTATCTACCTTAGTTAAATGAAATATGAATTTGTCGATAACCACGAACTGCTCTGAAACGGGTGCAACGACGAACTAAATTTACATCACCCAAGTAACGCTATTTATACATTGTTGGCAACATTGCAAACACTGTTGTCAATATGTATGTTATTGCACTTATGCACGTGTGATCTCAATAATTTTGTTACAGTCTACATTTACAATTCAAAGTGCGGTAAAAAAATCTGCAAAACGGTTTGATCAAAAAGTTGCACGTTTGCAGTTGGCTGTGCATCTTTAAACTTGAATTGTACCTTTATTGAACTGTCACATGAAATTGACATTTAAAAAAAAAATTGAGTCCTTATAACCAATTGTAATTTAATAGTTATAAAGCCCACAGTGACATAATGTACCCATGATAATATAACAAGTGATGTTTTCAAAAGGTTGAAGTTTTTCTTTAATATTTAAGAAACTCAAATAAATAACAGAATATTTTCAAACAATTAAACTAAAATAAAATACAGTCAATGTTTTTGCTAGTTTCGGACTATTATCTATCAAGAGTTAATTAATTAAATTGAAACTGTTGTACTATAAAATCCAATCATATTTCCAAAATGCCACTTCATATTACAAAACTGAAACTATATCAACATTATTTAAAAATATATTGAAGACAATTCACTTAATGTACTATTTCCTTTTATTTTTTCTTCAATTCAAGTTCAAGCAAACAGTTTTTACAATTTAGAAACAATCTGTCAGAACAAAATGATAAATGTCCAAGGTGAAGGTGCCCATCGAAGTAGCCGAAACGTTTTGCGTTAAGTATTTTCAAGGTCACCAATAGAAATGCCTAACTTTAACTCGCGTCTCGGTATCTGTAGCAAATCGCACAGCTACGTAACAAAATTGTGTAAAGAGAAAAATTTATCAAATTATACACACTTCTACGCTGAATTTTTGACTACTGATCCACAAGCAAGCTAAAATTTTACTGAGAAGCGTTTTTATCGAGAAAACGACGTTCTAAAATCGTTCCAGAGAACCATTTGCTACACAGTTCTCCAAATGTCCTCAAATGTCATTAAAAGGTGTTCGAAAAAGTAAAGTTAGTTTATTTTTCGTATGCACCGTGGATCAAATAAAACGGAATCTTTTAGAGCGATGTAAAGGTAGCAATGGGTTTTTAAAGACTTGTCTTTGATAGAATTTTGGTCTTGCCAGATTACCGAAAATTTGAAAAGTTGAAAATCTTTCGGTAGAAGCACTGAACCGGGCCATTAATCTAATCACGTGGGCACATTCAACCAATCAAATTCTAAATCCACAGGTTAATCAAACATTCGTATTTAATTCGAATTAAACCGGCTCTTAGAGTCATGATAGAGTCCGAAAAAAAGTCAAAATAGTTCTAAATATCAACTTGATAGCTGATAATTCAATTCAATGTTCAGTATTTCGTACTTTAGGCCATTGTTTTTCATCAGTAGCAGCCTACTTCGGTGATTAAAAATCTTTGTTTGGTTTCAAAATGATCAAATTTGGAGTAATCCGTTTGCCGAAGTATTTTTATTCAGCTTTCGAAAAAAGAAAGTTTACGTAATACTATTTGGCACCAGATGTGTTGTCTGAAAATTAAATAGCACGAGGTGTTACTCGATATTCTTAATGTAATTTTAAAAATAGAATGGCGTGATGTTTATAAGTTCGTCAAAATGTTGGCGGGCCGAATTTTTGAAAATTCCAAATTGTTTGAATTTTGTGCAGTTCGTATTTTTACTAAAACAGAAAATGTGGTCTTGGCAAAAACGTGGTTCTAACACAACAGATACTGTTTGGAAACCGTCACTTTGAAAATTTGGCGTATTTTGTTTTTAAGGAAATATTCTGAACGAAATTTAGACCACTTTGACAATCAACAGAAGTGAAATGTTTTTTTTTTTTTGAAGTTATATAATAGTAAAAGAAACTGCTGTAAATGTTACATTTAAATATTGGCCCTTCGTGTTTGACTTCAGTGAAGCATTAAATATTTTGTTGATTGTCTTCGAAATCTTATCTAATTTGAAATAAGTAGTTAATGACGACCAAACAACTTTAAAATTACAAAAAGTCCGTTAGTTTCTATCCACGTCGAGGTAATCCAATCTTTCTCGGTTCATTCGAATTGATAAATTTTTCTCTTGTTTGTTTCCTCGTCCTCTTATCCAATTAAAGCTTTGTTTCTCCCCCTCCCCCGCGACCACCCGCCGATTCCTACAAACACCGTTCCGCCAAACAATTTTAAACTCCTAAGCCATGCTGGTGCTAAATATAGTCCGTTCCGAAAATAGTGTAAGAATTTGTGGCAAGCAAAATTAGCTCCAATACGAAAACGGGGCTCTGCCAAACATTGTTGGACAAGCCGGCACTGGTTGCGTAACACCTCAACAATCCCGAAATCGAAGAAACTCCATTCTTCCAAATTAACTCAAAGTCCGTTCGCGATTCCTCATCGCCCCAGTTCCAAAAATAGCCCGAGCACGCATCCATGTAAGGTGTGACAGATGAAAAATGCAACATGGCTGCCACATGTTCCACACGTGCTGCATGGCGATTTCGGTTATGTAACTGTTTGAGTCGGGCTTTTCGGCTAGGTTAGGGGACCGGCGGATTTAGGCTCGGGGATGACACCCAAGTGTCATACTAGCACAGGGTGGGCACAAACCACTGAAAGGGCTAATCCGGCACTGCACGCTAGTATGACACTAGGGCCAAGTCCGGAACTGCAACAACTGCAACAACACACGTTCACAATGCACAAAACCACTTCACACAGTCCGTAGTCCTAAGGGTAGCAACACACTAGGACGCTGTGGTTCACTTACGTTCGAAAGGCGTTCTGGACGAGGAAATGCTTCTGACACAAGATATAAATGTGGGCAACCAGATCCTGAAATGTGTCGAGCTCCCGGGTTGGTGCTTGCCCGCGACCAATCGCCAATCGCGTTACAAGCTGGTCAGTCTACCTTTTTAGGCACGGGGAGTCGGGATATGACAGCCAGATGGGCTAGAAATACTACTTGGCGGGACGAGGGGCCAGCTCTTTTTGGTAGGGGGAGGGGGCCCAGTGCGTTCACCCAGTGGGTCGCATTCGGCTACGAGCGCCCGCTTCATTCATTTCGGGACCAAGGAAAGGGGCTGGGGCGATGGGCACGTGCCCATTTCAAGGCCGCGTGCCGCTGCACAGAGCCGGCTTGTGCAAGCACATTTTGCGGTTGTAATTGACCGAATTGTCGATCTCCATTGATGGAGTCGCGACCTTTGCCAACGTTCGAGCCGGGAAGGGTTTTTCAAGCTGGGTCGTTAAATTTGAGCTCTTGTTTGTTGGAATGCTGGAAGTGGGTCTGTGGAGTTAATAGTGGCGGAAAATACTTTTTGTGTTATTTTTGGTCATAGGCGCCGAATTCTGGGAAGGACAGGGGGCTTATAATAGTCGTACAAACGGTTCTATTTTTAATTAAGGATTGTACGGCGACGGGATTATAGAATTGGTTCTTTTTTTGCTTTGATGTAATTGTCGGGTTTTATTCTAAATATAAGTCGCGACATTTTGCCGGCATAGAAGCGAGTTCATCGATTATTAAATTTATTTTAAGTGGACCGAAAGTCCGATTTCTGTTTCTATTATTACGGGAAATCTTTCACATATTATTTTTATTTCTATTGAAAGAACACACACAGAAATAAATGTGATGGACGAAAATACGAAACAAATTTCGGTTGTTCGCCCAGGAGAACAAAATAATTATCTCTTAAAATAATTTGTCTATAGAGAATTTGCCAAACATTCTTTAATAATGAGTCAAAGTACATTTACTTTTTTATTAACACTTAATAGCATCTCTGTACAAACTTTATTCAAAACGTTTAAAATTTAAATATTGGAATTTTACGTGTTTTATCCTATGATTTTTATTAGAAACACTCATAAATTCACGTCCTGACGGTAAGTGAACTAAAAAATATTAAAATTTGACATTTTGATTTTATGTTCAATTAAAACAAAAAATGTAGTCCTTAATTGACAGCTATTCTATTTTTAATACAATACTACAAATGAGAACAAATAACAGTGCTCTAGATTTTCTCATGCGTTAACTGAGGTTTCAGAATGGGGTGAAAGCTAAGTTTGATAATAAATTAAGTGGTGTATGAAAATGACATTTATACATTTTACAGATAAGTCTACTTTGCAAAATATGGGATGTCGCAATTTATCCGTTCCAGTCAGTTTAAAATTTAAGTTAAAAATGTAAGTATTTAAAAATATTAACCAAAAATGTTTGAATTTTACGCATCTCTAAGTAGTTGCCCTTGGTTCCTTAAATAGATTGCTTTGCATAGCTAAATATTTTCAAGAAAACTGGAACAACGTGGCAACCTCTCATGGGGTTTTCAAAAATAAACTATAATTACAAAGCCCACGCTAGATCAATGCGAAAATGTAATAATGTAAAAACATTCTGTATTTTTACTTCCTGAGCATAAGCAAAGGAAGTATCTACTTTTACGTTTTTTCGGTCTGTCTGTCTGTCCGTCTGTCCGTCTATCTGTCTGTCTGTCCGTCTGTCCGTCTATCTGTCTGTCTGCCGTCCCGGATTTTTACTTTGATATCATGAAGATGGTAAAACGCTAACCAAAATTTGTATAATCATCCCCACCAATAATCTGATGATGAGAAAAGTGAGGGAGGGTGGGCGTTACTAATACCTGCTAAGATAAGGCTGATTTTGGCAAATAACATACTCTCTAAGAAAAGAAACGCAGGGTGGGGGGGTAAGTATCTGCTAAGATAAGAGTGATTTTGGCAAATGAGATCCCTGTAAGAAAAAAGAGGGCGGTTGGGCGGGGCTAGTATTTGCTAAGGTAAGACTGATTTTAGCAAATGACGTATCGTCTAAAAAAATGAATTAAATTATTATATAAAAGGACACAAGAGGGTCCAAAGTACTTTCAATTTTTTTCCAAGCAGAAATACCTAGATTGTTTAAAATTTTTCAAAAAAAACGGGGTCTCAGTATTGACTCAAAAACAGGTCAGGTCAATTTTCCAAAAATAGAACACCAACAACGTTTCATGGCCCATAGAGTATGGAAAATTAGGTCTCGTGGTCAGTCTGTGTACCGTCTGTTCAGATTTTTATAAGGCAGATACTCTCCAAAACTACCGGACCCATTGTATTTAATATGTGTGTTAGGAATGTTAGAAATACCGTGTAGATTGTAAAACGGTAACCAAAATTTGCCCAAGCTCCCTATCAATGTCATGACATCTCAAAAATGTTTATTGAATACGAATTCGCAAAATCAATTTTTAGTTTTCAAAGAAGCACTGCACTTTGGGAGCGAGGGAAGTCCTGTCGAAATAACTTTCGGCCATTTTTTTTAGATTTATACGGGGTGTCTCAAACAAATTAACATTTTGTTCGATGGTGGTTGAATTAATAATTTTAGTCCAGTGTTTTGAGAAGACAAACTCATTCAAATCAAACTAATTTCTACGTGACATTCTTTCGATGTATAAACATAAATAAACACTTGAGCGTCAGATTGCTATTACCTAGTGTTGAAGGACAAGGGTTGTTAGAGATGGATTATTTTAAGTTCAACATGGTGAGTCATCAGAATCTGAGACGGACTGTCAGTCAGTAGCGTAACATGCACACTTCAGAGAGGGGTAATTTTTAAATTTATTTTTTTTAATCGCAAACAACACACAGAAACATAAATTTATGTGAACCGGTCATCAATTTTAGGGGTGTTGTAAACGGATAAATTTTTTTACAAAAATCTGGATACCTAGGGAAAAAATTCAACACGGATTTATAAACTACAAGTGGAGGAGTACCTTATTCTATAAAAAAACAAATTTTAGTTATCGTTTCACTAGCTACATAATATTCCAAATATATGTACATACAATATATAACAACAACGTGTCTAGTATTTAGTGAAATAAGTGACAACGTCGGATTGGAATTTCAAAAACAAAATATTTTTTTAAATTCTATAAAACAAGTCCAATAGAATAGCAAAAAATATATAAGGTCGTTCCAACCTAACAAAGTAATGTGTATTACCCTCAAAAATTTATATATAGTTAGTACTCAAAAAAGGTGATAGTAGACAATGAAACTAGTACATTATCGCTATCTTTTACCATAAGGAATTAAAAAAAATTGTTACGAATTTATACAACAAAAAACAGAAAACTGCAACAATTAAATAATGGGCTACCATAACACTGTATAATTTTACGTATGTTTTTTTCCTGACGATAGGTGGATCCTTTGTGAGGTAGCGCCTGAATCCTAGAGTACACGTGTAAAGATAATTTTTCCACTGTAAGTCTTCCATTGAGAAATTAAACAACTTTCTGTCCTCAGCGCTCATCTCCGTCCACAAATATCGTACGTTATCTTCATCAAAATCAAAATTGTGTGTACCAAAATACGACATAAGCATGAGAACTTTATCGATTTTTGCGTAGGCTTTGACAGCTCTAAAATGACACGAAAGATCTAGAATTAAGTAGTTATTTTAGAAAAATTTACTTGGTTGGTTTTCCTATACAATAGAGAACAGCATCAATAAGGTACGCTGGAATAGTGTGCAACAAGAACGTGAAAATTTGGTTGCCCAATTTTCCTCTCAATTTGAAAATCTGATACCAAATTAAGTTCTGGAAGGGCATTCTCCAGTAACATGAATTTATATAGGAATAAAACTGTCCTGAAACCAAATTTCTCATATCTTATCAAGTGTAGGTTTAAGGTATAGGTACCCCAATTAAGCTGCTTCCTGTTAAAACCGATATAATTAAAAACTGTAGTGTTAGATTTTTTTTCAGTTGCGGTTTTCCACGTAGCAGCTAAAATACAATTACAAACGTAATCCACTGGTACGACATGTCCCAACACGTTACTATCGCCATGCATAGTTCTAATGATACCAAGCATTGCTCCTATCACCACGCTAATGGGTCCATACGTGTTATCAATCCATCCTGGTACTGGTTCTTTGATTGAATTCATTACTACAAGGTCAATTAAGATTTGGTTGCTTCAATAATGGAAAGTTACTTACTAATTGATGGCCTAACTATAGTGGCTGGAAAGTGTTTCACTGCACTTTTCACTAAGTGTTCAGAGATGCATTTGGTGTACACGTAAGTGTTCGGCCATTTCTTTAATAACCTTGAAAAAATTTACTTTTAAATAAGATCGAAAATTGTTTTAAAACAGATATAGATTAACTTACGCGGGAGTAAGATTTGTCAAAATATTTTCGTCTAGTCCATTCACCATACTGAATAAAAGTTCGGGTTGCATGGGCGGATCGTATATCTCTTCCTTAATGTGAAAATTTATACAGTTGGAATAAGCTGTCGATACAAGAACGAAACACTTGAAACTCAAAAGTTACATTTTTCAGAATAATACCTAAAAAGCGTGCTACCTTTAAATCAACCATGTCTTTACTCAGTTCTAAAAGATCTACAGTAGATTTAACACTACTAGCAGCCTTCTTCAAACTCTGATCAAACCTTACATTCGCCGCAAGATGGATAACAAAATTAACTTCATTCTTCAAAATTTTCAAATTCTCCTTGCTTATTCCTAAGTAAGGTTCTTCGCAGTCTCCTGCAATGAACGAAATTTTTTCCTCCCATTTGCTAGTTTTGGATCTTAAAACCTCAAAACACTGAACAAAATAGACACAATTTAAAGAAAAGTGTCCATACTCACAGGCTGCAGAAAAATTTCTTTAAAACGTTGCTCAGTGGTCTTCCCTTTTTTGGATCGCAGAAGTATGTAGATCTTTTTAATATCGTCACAGTCTGTTAGCAGTTTTGCCATCATGACTTTACCCAGAAACCCTGTTGCTCCAGTCAAGAAAAGCGTCTGCTTTTTGAAAGTAAGTTTGATTTGGCTGTTGTCGAGCGTCATGGTTGCGTCTTATTGAAGAGAACGAGGTTTCCTTAAAATGAGGAATTTTAAGATTTCACAAATTTATTATCTTGGTAGCTCCTTTATTTGTTACACAAATTTATTGTCAGGAGAATAAGGCATAAAAACAATGTCAAATCATGCTACCAAGTAGTCTTAAGGATAATCTATATTTAGAAGAGGAGACAACATTTATTTTTAAAATAGTGTAATAAATCTCTCTATATTGTTCGAGTCTTCGATTTTGAACCTTCGGTTTTTATTGTTTTGAGTTCTCGCTTATGATTGACGCACTTATTGATTCACCATGTCACTCAGTGTTTTGATTCTGAGGGCTCGAAGGACCAGTGTCGCACTCGAAAGAAGAACAAAGTACGTCTTTACTCTTTGGTTTTATTTAGAAAACTGGGTGAGTCAGCACAGCCCTCCACGAAGTCGGCACCAGCCTACAAAGGGCGGCAAGAACAGACAGAAAACGCTGACCCCGAATAAACACTTCAGATTTATAACATCCCGGCTGCATTGAAGTTAGTCAAGTTCAAAATTAATATTAAAGATAAGAAAATTATAAAATAAAAAATAAAATGTTCATAATAACAACACTCTCGAATTATGGTATATGCGACCTACATGATAATCACTTATTATGACGGCCATTTTAGTTATGTAATCTTCAATATTATTTCACTAGGGGTGAAATGAAATTCATTGAAAGAATAAATTTATAAATTTTGAGTAGGAATATTTTATTCAAGTAAATTACAAGCAATAAAACGCAATTGGATATATTGCTACCGGCTGATGTGGTTAGCTGTGCCGTGTTTTTACTATCTCTTTGTAGTGATGTATTGTTCCTACAAGAATTATTTGCCATAATTTCTCCTAAAATTTTAGTGGCAACTTTTTTTATTTTCTTTTGATGTATCAATGTACCCCTTCGCCACTGACTTCAATTTCCAGCCTCCATGGCGCTGTACGGTTAACTGCCCATTCACAATGGACATAATGCATAACAAGTACATAAAGCTTACATCTATACTTATATAATAAAGCTGAAGCTTTTGTTTATTTGAACACGTTTATCTCAGAAACTACTGGTTCAAATTCAAAAAATCTTTTTGTGTTGGACAGTCTATGTATCATATCTACATATAGGCTATATAACATCACGCTACGATCATTAGGAGCGAAGTAGCAATGAAAAATTCGGAAAACGGGAAAATTATTCCTCCTTTGAGAGCTTCCGTTGCGTACGCTGCTTAAACGGTTAAAGTTACGTAAAAATCATGTATGACGAAATTGTTCCCCTCTAAAAGTTCTAGAGAAAAGTCCCCGACAGCATATGTCTATCTTTTAAAGTCGACTCAGTATAACCTTTTTTATGGTAGTGAAATTTGTTCTAAAATAATAATGCATTATGTGTAAAATTCTCGCGTCACAGTGTTTGTAACCGAATTTCTCCGAAATGGGTTGACCGATTTGTATGAAATTTTTTATGTATATTCGGTAGGTCTGAGAATAGGTTGTAAACTATTTTTTAAACCCCTAAGTGATAAGGGTGGCCCACCCTAAAAAATGTTGGTCTATTTTTTGGACAACACTTTTTATTTTTATTTTTTTAAGAATTGGCATCAAAAAATACACATAACCCTAAATTTTCACCTTTCTACCACCAACCCCCATTTTTTAATCGTCTATATAATAAAAATCAATTGCTGTTCCTGTTAGTCTCGCTAAGACTCAAAAACGGCTTACACGATTTGAAGAATTTTTTATATTACGGGGATGGTTTATAAATAAAAAAAATAAAGAAAAGTTAAAAGAACAGTTAAAAAATAAAAAAAATCTAAAAATTTTGTATGGGAATCGCCACTTCGAATTAATTTCAATAGTTGGCATTTCTGACGGACCTGTCGTCTAACTGACGTGTCATACAAAACTAATTCTTCCGTGCAATTGTGAAAAGTATATTGCATTTCAAATCGTTCTTTGTTTTTCGTCAAAAAAACGTCGTTTATTTTAAGAAAAGTCTTGGTTAAAGTGAATTTAATTAAACATTGCGAAAGTTTCTTATTAATTTTGATCTGCCATTCTATTTACCTATATTCACTTTGTTGGTTTCGACAAAACCTCAAACTTTACCGTTATTTGAGGATTTAATTTGAAGTTTTCAATATTTTAAAATTCTCAAGACAAAATTTACAGATTCTTCATTATTACTCTTATATACCTGAGCATCTACTCTATGTACTGAGTACCTACTTGGAAACATTGTATATCCCCGGACACAAATTGAACATCTACGCGTTTTGTGAGCATTTAATCTAAAAATGAGGATCGGCGTGGCAAATAGCTGAGCTGTCTGTAAAGCAGCTTAGAAAACGAGTAGGATCGTTGTAAGAGTGAATTTTAACTAAACATGGCGACTTTCATGAACGTGGAACGTCGTCAAAAGGTGCATTCAGTTTGAAAAACACATTAGGAGCATGAATATCGAAAACTTTTCAGGTAATTAACTCTTATTTATGCATAAATTGTGCAGTGCGTTTTTTATAACACTGGCCATAGAGATTCCCATCTCAAGGTGTCTACCCCATACTAACTTATATTTTGGTGACTCGATTTTTGCTTTGATGGTTGAACACTGTCACTGTTGTCCTTTTTTGTTGTATCGATATGCTATTTGAGCATCAGCTGTTACCTACTGAAGTATTAATATCATCTAGAAAAACTAGAAATATTTTGATTTGATATTCGAGTAGATACTTCGTATTTCGAGTATGAGCATCTATTGAGTTTTATTTATATCAACCATTGTCAAAAAATTGATCGAACGTTGTTTGACAGAGCTTCCTTCGCACCAAAAGTATAATGAAACATATTCAGCATTTTCGAGTTGAGTATTTTCTTCACACAATTTTGTGATGACCAAGATTTACGATCAATACGTATACCACCTTGGATTGGTGCAGTGTAATACTAAAAATAACTGTATTGTATTCCCAAAATTATCTGCGAAAATCGAGTGAGCCATTCCATCAATTTTTTGGGAGCAATAGATAAATATTCTTAACAATTTACCATGCTTACAATAACTTTAAAACGGCTGCAAGATCTCAAAGTATTCATTTTTGCAAATCTTGAGTTATTCACTAAAATAAATTGACTGATCCACATATTTTTTTGAGTCACTGTAAAAGCAAATCTAAAAAATATGAATGCAATGATAAATTACGAAAATATACTCATGATATTTTCCACATTTTAGATAGGATTTATTCGGCAAAATCTTGAGATGACGTCTTCAAGTTTTTGGGCTTGATAAACAGGATTCTACGACAACTGGTCGCAAACAATTGATCGCGCGACAATTGATCGCAAGCAACTCGTCGCAGCACAATTGGTCGCACGCAACAATTGATCGCGGCGACAATTGATCGCAGCGACAATTGATTGCACGTAAATTGATCGCAGCGACAATAGATCGTACGTAAATTTATCGCAGCGTCAATTGATCGCAATTATTTCTGAAAATTATTTTTACGCAACCCAAAATACGAATACCATGTACCACTTGATACTAACTGAATTTAAAATGAAATGCTTAATTCATGATTGCTTTGACTTTGGCAATGTCATTTTGACAATTCTGGAAAAGGAGGTTACGCGAGTGTCCATGGTGGTACCGCAGCCAATTGGAGATCTCCGCTGGCGCCGCTAATAAGTTTGTCAGGGCTTGCTTCGAGTGCCTCTTGATCTTTTGCAACCGATTAATGACGAGAACATTATTTCTAAAAATTCCTTTTACGATAGATATTTCTGTGACGTGTAAAACAGCTCTCAGATCTAAAAAAAAGGAAGAAATAATTGGTTCGCAGTTATCCATGAATGACCCTACTACGGGCTGCCAGCTGATTTTATTCTTCTCCGCACTTTGCATCCTACAAAAATTTACAACATGGGCTGGAGAAGCCCACCTACATCCGGCAGATTAGGCAAATCATTCTGAGTGAATAGTCGGCCGTCCGAGTGAAAACTTTTCAAACTTCCCAAGCTAAAAATTAGTCACGCCATTGCGAATAACCACTACTCAGTGGCGTCGTCATCCTGGTTGTTTGTACTTTTTAACGGTATTCACTGTTTGTATTACTTGTTACTCGTGATGTGTTGATTGATTTAAATATTTTAAATAATATTAATTAATAGAGAATATAAATCTGTTATGTGCGTTGTTTTATTCAACAAATTTTATTCCATGAGCCGCATCAAAAAAAAAAAAAACTGTACGTCACTGTCATCGGCAGTCTTATCTGGGTAATGAGGGGTACTGTTTATGACACTTTACCGGTTTGGCTCGAAACCATCATTTTAAGTCTGGCACTTCCTCCAGTATGAGTATATTCCTTTGCTCCATGGTCAAAACTAATCTTTTTACGATCTTGTTTACAGAAATGGCGTAAAAGTGGAGATTGGTATGTAGGTACTTAGCAAAGGGAACGAGATAAATTATTCATTCTGTCGTATCTACAAGCGCCTTATTAACAGTGTGAGCGTTCAAAAAAGTTCTGAATGAATAAACATCTTTGGTTTTATCATGGATTAAAGATAATGCAGAACTAATTTGTAGTGAGCAAAAAATTGTCTGCAAAGAATGCAATAAAGTTCAAGATTAATTGTTAATATATAAATTCAAATTTCTTTGCACCAAATTTATTAAAAACTATATATATTTCATTTTTTAAACTATCAAACGTAATGAAAATAATACTTTTTCCCTTAAAACTGTAACGAGAGTTTTATCACGATTTATCTATAACTTTTTAATTTGACAGTTGTAATAATTTTAAAAGCATTTTTTATTAAAGAAAAATGACGTCTAACACGTTTTGAAAGCTATTTTTTTCACTCGTTTAATTGACAAACTTTAAACTTGTGAGAAGAAAAGCTTGAATGACTTACTTGAGCGTCTAATCAATAAGACCAATAATCCAAATGAACATTACAGTAGCATACCGACGAGATGTATCAGCATTAAAAAAAATATTTTACAATACATATTTTCACTTTTTTGCACTTTGGTTTAGTCGGAAATGAGCCTAATAGTTACCGTTTTTATGGAACTCGTATGTATTT